TCAAAAGAAAGAAAGAAAGAAAGAAAGAAAGAAAGAAAGAAAGAAAGAACGGATCTCCATAGAAGCGTCGAAGGGGTGAATAAAACCTGAAACAAAGATGAAGAGAGAAGAAAATGGTAAGACAATACAAGAAACCGCTAAAACAGAGAAGGAAAAAGACAGGAAGAAAGAAAAAAGAAGAAAAAAGGAAGAAAGAATGAATGAACGGATGTCCATAGAACCGTTGAAAGGGTGAATAAAAATTAAAACAAAGATGAAAAAATTTTCAAGAACAATACAAAAACAGCAAGAACAGAGAAAGAAAGAAAAAATAAAAATAAAAACAAAGAAAGAAAGAAAAAATGAACGGCTCGCCATAGAACCGTCGAAAGAGTGAATAAAAAGTAAAACAAAGATGAAGAGAAAAGAAAATAAGAACGATACAAAAACAGCAAAAAGAAAGAAAGAAAGAAAGAAAGAAAGAGAGAACGAACGGATCTCTAGAGAACCGTCGAATGGGTGATTAAAAATTAAAACAAAAAAAAGAATATTGTAAGAACACTACAAAACTGTAAAAACACAGAAAGAAGCAAACAAACAAACAAACAAACAAACAAACAAACAAAAAAGAAAGAAAGAAAAACTAAAAGTGAAATACGTAAAAATCTGTAAGAATTAAATTGAGGAAAAATTGTAAAGAATTGAAGAATCATCCAAAAAGACGGGAAAAGAAAGAAAGAAAGAAAGAAAGAAAGAAAAAGAAAGGAAGAAAAACTAAAAATGAAGTACGTAAAAATCTGTAAGAATTAAATTAAGAAAAAATTGTAAAGACTTGAAGAATCATCCAAAAAGACGGGAAAAAAAAGAATGAAAGAAAGAAAGAAGGAAAGAAAGAAAGAAAAAGAAAGGAAGGAAAACTAAAAGTGAAGTACGTAAAAATCTGTAAGAATTAAATTGAGGAAAAATTGTAAAGAATTGAAGAATCATCGAAAAAGACGCGAAAAAAAAGAAAGAAAGAAAGAAAGAAAGAAAGAAAGAAAGAAAGAAAGAAAGGAAAACGAAAAGTGAAGTACGTAAAAATCTGTAGGAATTAAATTGAGGAAAAATTGAAAAGAATAGAAGAATCATCCAAAAAGACAGGAAAAGAAAGAAAGAAAGAAAGAAAGAAAGAAAGAAAGAAAGAAAGAAAGAAAGAAAGAAAATCTAAAAGGAAAGTAGGTAAAAATCTGTGCGAATTAAATTGAGGGAAAACTGTAAAGAATTGAAGAATCATCCAAAAAGACGGGAAAAGAAAGAAAGAAAGAAAGAAAGAAAGAAAAGAAAAAAAATAAAAATGAATTACGTAAAAATTTGTAAGGATTAAATTGAGGAAAAATTGTAAAGAATTGAAGAATCATCCAAAAATCGGAAATAGAAAGAAAGAAAGAAAGAAAGAAAGAAAGAAAGAAAGAAAGAAAGAAAGAAAGAAAAACTAAAAGTGAAGTACGTAAAAATCTGTAAGAATTAAATTGAGGAAAAATTATAAAGTATTGAAGAATCATCCAAAAAGAAAGAAAGAAAGAAAGAAAGAAAGAAAGAAAGAAAGAAAGAAAAACTTAAAGTGATGTACGTAAATATCTGTCAGAAATAAATCGAGGAAAAATTGTAAAGAATTGAAGAATCATCCTAAAAGACGGGCAAAGAAAGAAAGAAAGAAAGAAAAAAAAAAAGAAAGAAAGAAAGAAAGAAAGAAAGGAAGAAAAACTAAAATGAAGTAGGTAAAAATCTGTGTGAATTAAATTGAGGAAAAATTGTAAAGAATTGAAGAATCATCCAAAAAGAAAGAAAGAAAGAAAGAAAGAAAGAAAGGCAGAAAGAAAGAAAAACTAAAAGTGATGTACGTAAATATCTGTAAGAAATAAATCGAGGAAAAATTGTAAAGAAGTGAAGACTCATTCAAAAAGACGCGAAAAAAAAAAAAGAAAGATAAAAAGACAGAAAGAAAGAAAGTGACTCCATAGGACCGTAGAAAGAATGAACAAAAAATAAAGCCAACATAATGAGAAAACGAAAAATATAAAATGAATAATGATAATAGAATAAATATGATACAAAAAAGAACTAAAGAAAGAAGGAAATAAAGAAATAAAGAATGATAATTGAAAGAGAAAATTGTTAAAAAGAAATAAACAAATTAAATAATCCGTAGCCATGAGGAAAGAAGCAGAAATGAAACTAAAGTTCTACTTTATCAAAGCAAGAAAAATTAACAGCGTCAATTTATCGATATGCCAAATGCTAATTATTAGAGAAAAAATAACACTAGAGTAGAAATTTTTAACCTGCTTAAAAAAACAATACTTTTATAGAAAGTATTACTTATTCACACATATACACACACACACACACATATATATATATATATATATATATATATATATATATATATATATATATATATATATATAATTATTTTAATCTCTACTTCTCTATGGAGCACTGTCTTCTTAAAAATAAAAACAAAATACAAAGGAACTCCGGACTATGCACCCAACGTTTTCTTTTCTGTTTTCTGCATACCTGCGCACTTATATATATATATTATAAAATAACTGATGTAAAATGTTTTTTTTTTTTTTTTTGCTACACAGTTGTAACCATGTTTCAGTAATGGAAGATAAAAGCTTCGAATTTAATTTTGTAATTAAATTAAAGACATTAGTTCCATTTCATCCTCAAGGGAATTATATATATATATAGCGAATTTCATATATATATATATATATATATAAGCGAATTATATATATATATATATATATATATAAGCGAATATATATATATATATATATATATATATATATATATATATATATATATATTCTTTATTATAAGATATTACATTCATATGTAAACCGCTACATCAATTCATCTTTGTATGGATGCCTGTCATATCATCTCATCAGGCGATGCTAAGTGAAGTTTATTACAATTTTTAATATTTAGTTGTTAACAATCTCTTGTCCCGCGAAAAACGATAAAAGAAAACAAGAAAAGCAAGAAAGCAAGAAAGACATAAGATGTAGTTACCTCTAAAAAAAAAAAAAGGAAAGAGACGATATAGTCTAAAAAAAGAAAAGAAAGAAAAAGAACGAATAATAAGATATAGTCTCTTCAATGGAAGAAAAATGAAGAAAGAAAATAAGATCTAGAAGGAAAGAAAGATAAGATATAATCCCTTCTCCAAAGAAAAAGAAAAAGAGAGAAAGATAAAATAAAGATGAAAGAGAAATGTAAGGAAGTTAAACAAGAAAATTTATCAAAATCATAAAAACGAAAAAATCAAAATAAATAAATAAATGAACAAACCAAATCTTAAAAGTACTAAAATCACATAAATAAATTATATAAATAATAAAACAATAAGCTAACAAATTATATAAAATCAAACTTAATAGATTATGGCAGTCAACTATAGAGTTTACATATGTAACGTTAATAAAATAAAAATAGATTTTTATATATATATATATATATATATATATATATATATATATATATATACAAAGTATATATATATTACAATAAACGTGCAATCAATTTACAAATACATGAATTATTCACACAAAACTAATGCAAAAGGTTAATGATTTAAATGGCGAGACATCCATCATCGCAAACAATTCAAATAGTATACAAAAACCTCCAGATCCGTTATGAATGAATTGATCCTTGTTTATATAAATTTCTGCCGTATTAGTTGTTATTTTACTACAAGCTTTTGTCTGTTCCTACAGACATCTTCAGGTATAGAATAGATGTTGTTCTTGTTTTTTCTCTTAGTAATAAGAGGACAACGAAAATATATGTGTTGTTGTATCCGAAAATGCTATTGAAAATGAGTTATTGGTTTTGGAACGCGCCAAAGCAACGCTGAGTTTGATTTTAAATTTTTAAAGTGTTTGCGTTTATACCAAATATGGTGATGAAAAAATTTTTTTACTGTTAAATTTTTCTGTCAAAGTGGCATGAACTATATTGTTCAAAGTATATATATATATATATATGTGTGTGTGTGTGTGTGTAAAATGACATGTGTGCAGATATGTAGAAAAATAGGAAAGAACACGTTAGGTAAATAATCCGGAGTTCTTTCGTATTTTTGTTTTTATTTTAAAAAAAAAACAGTGCTCCATACAGAAGTAGAGATTAAATTATGTAGCGAAGGAACCATATTTTTAAAAGATAATTATACGTATAATTATATATATACAGTGTAACCCGGATATAAGAGAGTTATCGGGACCGGGGAAGAAGTCTCTTATATCCAGGTTTCTCTTATATACGGGTTTGGTCTATTTTGTTTAGGTAAGTATGGGAACACTTTGGGACCAGATAAAAATCTCTCTTATATCCGGGTTTCTCTTATATCCGGGTCACTTATATCCGAGTTAAACTGTATATAAAGTTATATATGAAGAAATATAGATTTAAAGTATGCGATATTTGTGGGATAAAGCGCTCAATACAGAGATAGAACGTGCGTAAATATAGAAGTGAACATTCAGTGGCGACAGACTCTTTCGTGCTAGACGCAATCACCAGATGAACCGAGATTTAGTGATGGTTCTTAATTCTCTCAAATGGTTGAGACGATTCTTTTCAAATTTACTTATACCTCAGTAGCAAGTGTTTCTCTAGTTTGCTCGGTTTTCAACAGCAAGTTCGAACTCCTCTATAAGGATATTTGCATCATTTAGATTGTATCTAAGTTTGTATTTAAAGCGTAACCAAGGACGGCTTACATTACGCTTACCATTAAAAAGTTGGCTATACATGAGGATATTATATATATATACATATATATATATATATATATATATATATATATATATATATATTGTTTAAAAATATGATTCCTTCGCTAAATAAGAGTTCTCATGTTTCAAATACGAGCCGAAACCATCCAAATAATTATCAAAATTAAGTTGAATTGAGGTGTTTAGTCCCGTTTCATCTTCAAACGAAATTTTAGGAATATATATATATATATATATATATATATATATATATATATATAATTTTATAAATATAAAAGTGAACACTGAAGTCAACACTCAGAGGCGGCAGGTTGTTTCATGCTAGACGCAATCGCCAGGCCGCGAGTGTTGGGTTTTTTCTTGCCTATTTATATATATATGGGTCAGTGGAGCATTGTGGATAGTCTGTTCTGGCGGTTATTTTGGCGGGAGTTCCTTGTTTAATTACTTATTTATTTCTTTATTTGGGTTAATTTATTTTACTTGTTTTTATTTATTTTCCTTTTGTATTTTATATATTTATTTATTCTTTTCAGTTTTCGATGTTTTATTAACGTAGTAAAAATTATGGCTGGCATTTGCTTAGGCTGCTTATTTAATAGTTTGTTTTGATCTGGGAAGATAATTAAAGCTATTTATTCGTCCAATTTTTTGATTGATTACTTTAGTCTATTCGTTTATTTTGGCGAGGTCTGTTTTTAATTTGTTTATTATTTTATTTATTTATTTGGATTATCTATTTTTATTTGTTCTAATGGTCATTTTAGTGGGAGCGGTTAGTTAATTTGTTTATTTATTTAAATTAATTTATTTTACTTGTTTTTCTTGTCTATTTACTTATTTTTTATTTTGTATATTTTTATTTACTCTTTTCGGTTTTCCATTTTTAAGTAACTTATAAATTATTTATTTTTATCGTTATATAGCAGTTATAGCTATTTTTAGTCCCATTTTTTGGATTCGTTGTTGTAGTCTATTCTAACGGTTGTTTTGGTTTGGATTGGTTTAATAATTTGTTTATTATTTAGTGTATTTATTTGGATTAATTAATTCTACTTGTTTTTTTTTATCTATTTATTTATTTATTTTTTTGTAGTTTTGTCTATTCTAACGCGAGTGGTTTCTTAATTTTGTTTATTATTTGCTTGGGTTAATTTTTTTTACTTGTTTTTTATTCTTAATTTGTTTATTATTTATTCTTTTCAGTTTTCGATTTTTAAGTAACGTAGTAAAAGATTGTTTTCATGTCTGCATTTTGAGATAAGCTCAGATCGTTCATTTTAGTAATTTATTTTGATCTGGGAAGGTAATGATAGTTATTTTTTCCTCCAAGAAATGTTTGCAGGTTTTGGATTGATTGTTGTAGGCTGATGATCTTTTCCTTATTTTCCATGATATTTTTGCTGTGATTGCGCTTTGTTTTTAATTTCCCACATACACTTAGAAAGTATTGTGCTGTTCGCTTATTTACTATTTTGGAATTTTCAGAGGGAAATTATTATAATTTTATTGTTATTATTATGTAAATAATTATTTACAAAAATGTATTGCTGGTAATATTTTTTCTTCAAAATATATTGCTGGTAATAATTATTCACAAAATATATTGCTGGTAATATTTTTTTCCTTCAAAAAGTATTGCTGTTAATATTTTTTACTTCAAAAAAATTAAAATCTATTTTTACATTTTCATAGTGTTTTGACCCAAGTTTGGGGGTTAACTTTTTGGCCACAGCTAGGACTCTAACAGGTGCTACCACCCCCGGGTCAGGGTGGACCAGGGAACACTCCTCAAAACCTCCTGATACCTTGCTGTTGGATGTAGTTTATTGTCTTACCCATGACGCGGATGTAGTTTATCGTCATACCCAGGACGCTTTTTGTTTTTTCTGCGAAAGGTTAAAAATACAATATCACCGCTCACAAGGCCACGTGAATGCTTTTGAACTCTGCCAAGGCTGGACACTGAAGACTGGATTTCTCTATTTTTTACTTCATTTTAGGTTTGGTCTCAATCGTGTAAAAACTGAATTTAGTATTTCATCAGCTATTAACATTAAATTATGAACGTATGTAAGTCTTTTAAGTCGATGGCGACATTTCTATCGAAGCATTTATTTAATTACGAATTTTCTTCTACACTTTTATATGATTTCATTTTAATATCGCGATAATAATGAAATTATTACTTGTAAAATATAATCAGTGGTTTGAAGGTGACTTTCTGTTTCAATTCATTAAACACAGCAAATCTCGTGAGATTTTATTTTTTTATTTTTATGAACAATGCTCAAATAATTAATTATTTCATAAATAGATTTTTAAGTTATCTGAAAGCGTTCTTTCTCGCCTTGACTGTGTATTTAAAGTTTCACTGCAAATGGCTTCATTTGAAT